TGTGTCAGTGTGTGTGTGTGTCAGTGTGTGTGTGTGTGTGTCAGTGTGTGTGTGTGTCAGTGTGTGTGTGTGTCCCCACAAGAATAGTAAACAATCAACATTTTGTTGCCCCCCACAAGGTCAAATGCTATTTCTAGGGGGTTTAGGGTTAAGGTTAGAATTAGTGTTAGGGTTAGAATAAGATTTAGGGTTAGGAGCTAGGGTTAGGGTTAAGGTTTTCGGGTTAAGGTTAGGGTTACAGTTAATGTCATGGTCAGGGTGCGGGTTAGGTTTAGGGTTAGGGGTTAGGGAAAATAGGATTTTGAATAGGACTGAATTGTGTGTCCCCACAAGGTTATTTTTAGAAGCGTGTGTGTGTGTGTGTGTGTGTGTGTGTGTGTGTGTGCGTGTGTGCGTGTGTGTTTACTTTTCCGTATACACTCCAGTAAATACTCTAGAGTTGGCAGAAGCCTTTGTTTCCAGTGACTCCTTGTCTGGGTTGTTGGGAAATAAAGACGAGCTAAGCTCTCATTGTGTCAGACGCACGTCTTGGTTTAATTTTCTGTGTTTTTATTTTTCTGTGTTCCTTTAGCTTCCAACCTGACACAAGGAACCGAATGGACCATTAAGAGAGCAATCTAGGAGCTCACTGCTATGTCTCTGGAGCGAGGGAAGAAAGTAAAATAATGCATCATTTATTGGTAAGAAGTCTCATAAAAAAACACACCAGGTTGACAGGTTCACTCTAGGAACAGCACACCAGGTTGACAGGTTCACTCTAGGAACAGCACACCAGGTTGACAGGTTCACTCTAGGAACAGCACACCAGGTTGACAGGTTCACTCTAGGAACAGCACACCAGGTTGACAGGTTCACTCTAGGAACAGCACACCAGGTTGACAGGTTCACTCTAGGAACAGCACACCAGGTTGACAGGTTCACTCTAGGAACAGCACACCAGGTTGACTAGGTTCACTCTAGGAACAGCACACCAGGTTTGACAGGGTCACTCTAGGAACAGCACACCAGGTTTGACCAGGTTTCACCTCTAGGAACAGCACACCAGGTTTGACAGGTTCACTTTAGGGAACCAGCACACCAGGTTGACAGGTTCACTCTAGGAAAACGCAACAACCAGGTTGAACAGGTTCACTCTAGAAACAGCCACCCCAGGTTGACAGGTTCACTCTAAGGAAACACCACCAGGTTGACAGGTTAACCTCTAGGAACAGCACACCAGGTTTGACAGGTTCACTCTAGGAAACAGCACACGGCAGGTTGACAGGTTCACTCTAGGAAACAGCACACCAGGTTGACAGGTTCACTCTAGGAAACAGCACACCAGGTTGACAGGTTCAACTATAGGAACAGCACACCAGGTTTGACAGGTGTCACTCTAGGAAACAGACCAACCAGGTTGACAGGTTTCCCTCTAGGAACAGCACACCCAGGTTGGACAGGTCTCACTCTAGGAACAGCACACACCAGGTTGACAGGTTCACTCTAGGAACAGCCACACCAGGTTGACAGGTTCACTCTAGGAACGCCACACCAGGAGTTCCTCTAGGAACGCACACCAGGTTGACAGGTTCACTCTAGGAACAGCACACCAGGTTGACAGGTTCACTCTAGGAACAGCACACCCAGGTTGACAGGTTCACTCTAGGAACAGCACACCAGGTTGACAGGTTCACTCTAGGAACAGCACACCAGGTGACAGGTTCACTTAGGAACAGCACACCAGGTTGACAGGTTCCACTCTAGGAACAGCAAACCAGGTTGACAGGTTCACTCTAGGAACAGCACACCAGGTTGACAGGTTCACTCTAGGAAACAGCACACCAGGTTGACAGGTTCACTCTAGGAACAGCACACCAGGTTGACAGGTTCACTCTAGGAACAGCACACCAGGTTGACAGGTTCACTCTAGGAACAGCACACCAGGTTGACAGGTTCACTCTAGGAACAGCACACCAGGTTGACAGGTTCACTCTAGGAACAGCACACCAGGTTGACAGGTTCACTCTAGGAACAGCACACCAGGTTGACAGGTTCACTCTAGGAACAGCACACCAGGTTGACAGGTTCACTCTAGGAGCAGCACACCAGGTTGACAGGTTCACTCTAGGAGCAGCACACCAGGTTGACAGGTTCACTCTAGGAACAGCACACCAGGTTGACAGGTTCACTCTAGGAACAGCACACCAGGTTGACAGGTTCACTCTAGGAACAGCACACCAGGTTGACAGGTTCACTCTAGGAACAGCACACCAGGTTGACAGGTTCACTCTAGGAACAGCACACCAGGTTGACAGGTTCACTCTAGGAACAGCACACCAGGTTGACAGGTTCACTCTAGGAACAGCACACCAGGTTGACAGGTTCACTCTAGGAACAGCACACCAGGTTGACAGGTTCACTCTAGGAACAGCACACCAGGTTGACAGGTTCACTCTAGGAACAGCACACCAGGTTGACAGGTTCACTCTAGGAACAGCACACCAGGTTGACAGGTTCACTCTAGGAACAGCACACCAGGTTGACAGGTTCACTCTAGGAACAGCACACCAGGTTGACAGGTTCACTCTAGGAACAGCACACCAGGTTGACAGGTTCACTCTAGGAACAGCACACCAGGTTGACAGGTTCACTCTAGGAACAGCACACCAGGTTGACAGGTTCACTCTAGGAACAGCACACCAGGTTGACAGGTTCACTCTAGGAACAGCACATTTATGATTGAAGTTTTCTTAAAGCTGCATTATGTTGCTAAAATTCTAATAGTTTGCCTAATTTCAGTTTATGTGACAAATCAAGTAAGTAATATATGCCATTTAGCAGATGCTTTCTTCCAAAGCAACTTATAATGATAAATAATAATATGCCATTTAGCAGACGCTTTTATCCAAAGCGACTTACAGTCATGTGTGCATACATTTTTACGTATGGGTGGTCACGGGGATCAAACCCACTACCCTGGCGTTACAAGCGCCATGCTCTACCAATTGAGCTACAGAGGACCACCTGCAGCAAATCCTTGTACTATCTAAACCGCTGTGAAATATTTTTTCCATAAGCAAAAATATTGTATTTTCAGCTGTTTGAAGCTGGTGTACGAAACCGAAAGCAAGAGACGCAAAAAGGAGACTTAAGAAATAGCTCACATAGAACAGATCTACCACTTCTTATACTTGCTTTCAATGGGAATGACAGATCTATAACTCACATTTCTATGTGAATTTGGTCAGGTGGCCCAAAAAGTTATATATTGCATCTTTAACTCTGGTGCCCTCCCCTCCTCTCCTCTCCTTCTAGCACCTTACCTCACCACTTCTGTCCACTCCTCTTCTGTCCTCTCCTCTTCTGTCCTCCCTCTTCTGTCCTCTCCTCTTCTGCCCTCTCTCTTCTTCCTTCTCCTCTTCTGTCCTCTCCTCTTCTGTCCTCTCCTCTTCTGTCTCCTCCTCTTCTGTATTCACCTCTTCTGCCCTCTCCTCTTCTGTCCTCTCCTCTTTTGTCCTCTCCTCTTCTGCCCTCTCTCTTCTGTCCTCTCCTCTTCTGCCCTCCCTCTTCTGTCCTCTCCTCTTCTGCCCTCTCTCTTCTTCCTTCTCCTCTTCTGTCTTCACCTCTTCTGCCCCTCTCCTCTTCTGCCCTCTCCTCTTCTGTCCTCTCCTCTTCTGTCCTCTCCTCTTCTGCCCTCTCCTCTTCTGTCCTCTCCTCTTCTGCCCTCTCCTCTTCTGCCCTCTCCTCTTCTGTCCTCTCCTCTTTTGTCCTCTCCTCTTTTGTCCTCTCCTCTTCTACCCTCTCTCTTCTGCCCTCTCCTCTTCTGCCCTCCCTCTTCTGTCCTCTCCTCTTCTGCCTTCTCTCTTCTTCCTTCTCCTCTTCTGTCCTCTCCTCTTTTGTCCTTTCCTCTTTTGTCCTCTCATCTTCTGTCCTCTCTCTTCTGTCCTCTCATCTTCTGCCCTCCCTCTTCTGTCCTCTCCTCTTCTGTCCTCGCCTCTTCTGTCTTCACCTCTTCTGCCCTCTCTCTTCTGCCCTCTCCTCTTCTGTCCTCACCTCTTCTTCCTTCTCCTCTTCTGTCTTCACCTCTTCTGCCCTCTCTCTTCTGCCCTCTCCTCTTCTGCCCTCTCCTCTTCAGTCCTCTCCTCTTCTGTCCTCTCCTCTTTTGTCCTCTCCTCTTCTGTCCTCGCCTCTTCTGTCTTCACCTCTTCTGTCCTCGCCTCTTCTGTCTTCACCTCTTCTGTCCTCTCCTCTTCTGTCCTCTCCTCTTATGTCCTCTCTCTTCTGTCCTCTCCTCTTCTGCCCTCTCCTCTTCTGTCCTCTTCTGTCCTCTCCTCTTCTGCTCTCCCTCTTCTATCCTCTCCTCTTCTGTCCTCTCCTCTTATGCCCTCTCTTCTGTCCTCTCCACTTTTGTCCTCTTCTCTTCTGTCCTCTCCACTTCTGTCTCCTCCTCTTCTGTCCTCTCTCTTCTGTCCTCTCTCTTCTCTCCTCTCTTCTTCTGTCCTCTCCTCTTCTGTCCTCTCCTCTTCTGTCCTCTCCTCTTCTGCTCTCTCTTTTCTGTCCTCTCCTCTTCTGTCCTCTCCTCTTCTGTCCTCTCCTCCAGTGCCCTGCCCTCCTTTCCTTTGATATCCTGTGACCTTTACCATCTCTGGCCACCAGGCGATTCATCCTTGTTCCATGAGGTCAACGACTCCAGAGACCACTACCTGGAAACATCAGCTTTAGCATTAGCTTGATTTGGCCACTGGGAGCAAGAGAGGAAGAGGGAAAGCAAAAATGCAGAAACCCAGGTGAGGTGAGCTCTTTGGGGGCAGTCGGCAGTAGGAGTTATGACAGAGAGAGTTGGTGGAGCGGTTCAGTGTTAATGCCCTCCATTATGTTTCTGGGGTTGGCCGAAGCGCCGACCGCAGCTCCTAAGTGATTGGCTTTCTGCTTGGCGGGGTAAGAAGGCGGGCACCGCTCGTAGCTGGTTAGAGTCAGACCCTCGCTCTGTTGTTCTAAAAGCTGTTAAGAGAAGGTGAAGAATGAGGGCTCCCACTTCCGTGGCCAGGGATACTCCATCACCCCCTAACCCAGCCTCTCACCCTACATCCCAGCCTTTCACCCACCCTACCTCCCAGCCTCCCAGCCACCCTATTTACCCACCTCCCAGCCACCCTACCTCCCAGCCACCCAGCCTTCCACCCACCCTACCTCCCAGCCACCCTACCTCCCAGCCACCCAGCCTTCCACCCACCCTACCTCCCAGCCACCCTACCTCCCAGCCTCCCAGGCTCTCACCCAGCCTCCCTACCTCCCAGTCTCTCACCCTGCCTCCCTGCCTCCCAGCCACTCTATCTCCCTGCCACCCAGCCTTCCACCCACCCTACCTCCCTGCGTCCCAGCCACCCTACCTCCCACCCACTCAGCCACCCAGCCTCTCTGCCTTCCTGCATCCCAGCCTCCCTGCCACCCAGCCTCCCTGCCACCCAGCCTCCCTGCCACCCAGGTTCCCTTCCACCCAGCCTCCCTGCCACCCAGGTTCCCTGCCACCCAGCCTCCCTGCCACCCAGCCACCCTGCATTCCTGTCTTTCAGCCACCCAGCAACCCAGCCTCCCTGCCACCCAGCCTCCCTGCCGCTCACCCAGGCTCACTGCCTCTTACCCAGCATCTCAGCCTCCACAAACAAAGAAAGCTCCGGCCAAACTCTGTACTCACACCGCTGTCCTATGAAAACCCAACAGGAGGAAAGACACATTTGAAAACATACATTTGAGGTAACATCAATTCCAGCATGGATTCAACTCATTCCATTCAGTGTTGTTGTATTGTATTTTATAGGTAAAAACGTTTAAGAGCTACCCATGGCTCGCCTTGCAAGTAGCTCTTTTCAATGGATAAATACACTGAGTGTACAAAACATTAGGAACACTTTCGTAATGTTGAGTTGTACCCCCCCCGCCCCGCCTTTTGCACTCAGAACAGCCTCAATTCGTCGGGGCATGGACTCTACAAGGTGTCAAAAGTGTTCCACAGGGATGCTGGCCCATGTTGACTCCAATGCTTCCCACAGTTGTGTCAAGTTGGCTGGATGTCCTTTGGGTGGTGGACCATTCTTGATACACACAGGAAACTGTTGAGTGTGAAAAATCCAGCAGCAGTTCTTGACACTGTCAAACTGGTGCGCCTGGTACCTACTACCATACCCCATTCAAAGGCACTTCAATATTTTGTCTTGCCCATTCACCCTCAATGGCACACATACACAATCCATGTCTCAATTGTCTCAAGGCTTAAAAATCCTTCTTTAACCTGTCTCCTCCCCTTCATCTATACTGATTGAAGTGGATTTAACAGGTGACATCAATAAGGGATTGTAGCTTTCACCTGGATTCACCTGGTCAGTCTATGTCAGTTCCTAATGTTCCTATTATTTTGTACACTCAGTGTGTATGAAAATGGCTACAAACTCCATAATCTACAGACGGCACCACACTCCATCATTAAAAGGTAAAAGGGCAACACTTCATCATCTCTGTTACCTGAAGTTATGGCAAATGGGTTGGCTTTGAAAGTTGCATTGGGGCATACATTTTCTTAGCTTAAACACCTACAGATGTAGGATCTTAATTTGATCACTCTTGGCCCGCAGCAAATGCAGATGAGATTCGGGATTTATATAAATTCACAGAAAACCCGCACTAACACACAGTTATATTAACAGTATACCACTTTTGATGTTGCCTCATTTTGACCAGCTAATAACCTAACCACCGATCAAGCAGCATTATGGACTAAACATTCAAATCCTGTTGCTGCAGGATTCTTTTGCAGTGACAATAAAGGTCAAATTAAGATCCTACATCTGTGTAGCTACTCTACATTAACAGATTCAGCCACAATCAGTTATGCACAGATAATAATAAGCACAGCTCTCAACCGCTTGCTCTCCAGTAGACATTTATAGGAATATTTGAAGAATGTTATGAAATAATTTCCAAGTGTCTCAATTTAAGTAACATCTACTTGACAGGATCCATTCACTCCTGAAGTGATACAGAGGTGATAGCCAATTGAAAGTATCTGGCATGAAGTGTTAATTTAGGCCTACTTTCATTTCAGGGGAAGGGAGGATAATAACGTCGCAGTGCTGTGATGCGTTGTGTCTCAAATGACACCCTACTCCTTACATAGTGCAGTAAGGGCCCTGGTCTAAAATAGTGCACTATATATGGAATAGGTTGCCATTTGGGACTTAGCATGGTGTGACAGCTAAAGAGGAGTTGGGAGGAAAGCTATCTAACTATTCCTCACTGTCACCACGCTACAGAGACGCAGACAGGGAGGTGTGTGTGTGTGTGTGTGTGTGTGTGTGTATGTGTGTGCGTGCGTGCGTGTCCATGCGTGCGTGTCTTTGCATTCGTGTGTTTGTGTGCGTGCGTGTGTACGTGTGAATGCGTGAACATTAACATACACATGCACACAGACACGCATGCGGGGGGAGGGGCTAAACTGAGAGACAGAGAGACAACCTGACCAGTGATGAGAATAGTGTCCATACAATAAATGGGTCTGGGAATGAACTGGGAATGAACTGGGAATGAACTGGGAATGAACTGGGAATGGGCTGGAAATGTTTCTAGGGTACTCCTCTAGTACGATAATGTGTCTTCCTTACAAGTCTGTGGGTGGAATGGATCTTCCCATCTGACATCTTTGAGCCTACAGAATAAGGTGAGAGGTGAGCGAGGGGTGGGGAGGGAGAGGGGCACAGGGGGAGTGAGGAAAGAGAGAGACATAGTTTATTCTAATCTGATAACGGTCCTCTTTTTCATTAACCTCAGAGCGGCCTCAGCTGATCCAATTATCCCTTTCTCCTCCTCTCTCTCCCCCTCTCCTCTCTCTCTCCTCCTCTCACCCCCTCTCCTCTCTCTCTCCTCCCTCTCCTCCCTCTCCTCTCTCTCTCCTCCTCTCACCCCCTCTCCTCTCTCTCTCCTCCCTCTCCTCCCTCTCCTCCTCGCTCCCCCTCTCTCCCCTCGACCCCTCTCCTCCCACTCTCTCCTCCCTCTCCAGCTCTCGCTCTTCCACTCTCTCCCCCTCTCTCCTCCCTCTCCCACTATCTCCTCCCTCTCCTCCTCTCTCTTCCATCCCCCTCACTCCTCCTCCTCCTCCCTCTCCCGCTCTCTCTCTCCCCCCTCTCTCCTCCCTCTCCCGCTCTCTCTCTCCCCCTCTCTCCTCCCTCTCCCACTCTCCCTCTCCCACCTCTCCTATTCTCTCCTCCCTCTCCCACTCTCTCTCTCCCCCTCTCTCCTCCCTCTCGCACTCTCCCTCTCCACCCTCTAACCCCTACAGGGAGGGAGCCCTCACAGACCAGTGAGAGGGATTGGAGAGAGATCTCCTATTGAGTTCCAATAAATTAATGCTCCTATTGAGAATGCACTTATGCCAGCTGTCGCCCTTACTACTATCATATCAAACAAGACAGTAATACACAAGACAGTTTTTATAATGACCAGAGGCTACTTCAGGACTCTCCTGCAGCCATCACTAGTGCAGCGTTCTAATAGGCCAGTAGGCCTAACATGGCTACTCTTCCTCAGCCCTGTCTCCCTGATAAGGCCTTGGTACAGGATAGCTCCAGTCCCTTGAACAGTTTGCTCAACACTACAAGTTTGACATTTTCTGAATGCAGAAAAGTTATAATAATATAATATAATAATAATATGCCATTTAGCAGACGCTTTTATCCAAAGCGACTTACAGTCATGTGCACATACATTTTTACGTATGGGTTGTCCCGGGGATCGAACCCACTACCCTGGAATTACAAGCGCCATGCTCTACCAATTGAGCTACAGAGGACCAGTTATCCTGCAACAGGGTGATCAAATTATGTTACAATAGGCCCTGGCAGAATTGCATTGCACACACACTCGCGGATGCAATAGCACACGCACACACACACAGCACGTAAGCATACATACATACACACACACACACCCACACACACACACACACACACACACACACACACACACACACACACACACACACACCCTGGCCTTGAAGAGGCAACATTAGCTACCTCCTCACCACCCATTCCACTAGCCCGTAGAAGTGACAGTATTAGGGTTTATCATGTCTTCTCTGTATGCTGAGAGACTGCATTAGCAAGTAACATAGTAATGATGGTACCTTGAATACCAAAATGTATGTATAGCATGTGCCGGGGAGAATTTGAAATTGCTGTATATTTTAGTTGCCGATTTGCATAATAGTAAATCAGGGGGAACAGATTTAAATCACACACGCATTTCCTTTAAAATGTTTATGGACTCATGTTTATATATGCGGTTAGAGTAGGGTACATAGAAGCAAACCAGGGATGTTAGGCCAAGACTGAACATATATGAATACCTGTGTGAGTCATAGACCTGTGCTCTGCTCATTAGCATGTACGGCTACAGTAGGAGGGGAGAGAGAGGGGGAAGGAAGAAAGAGAAGAAGGAGTGAGAGTAGAGAGGATGGAAAGGAGGAAGAGAGAGCAAGAGGAAGAGAGGGGGAGAGGGGGGGGAGGAGTGAGAGATTGTGAGAGGAGGGGGGAGGAGCGAGAGGGGGAGAGAGGGGGAAGAGGGGGGGAGAGGAGAGAGAGGGGGAGAGGAGAGAGGGGGGAGAGGAGCGCGGGAGGGGGGGGGGGAGAGCTTTTTCTTTGGGAGGAGAGAGAGAGAGGAGTTGGGAGGGAGAGGAGGGAGATGGTGGATGGGGGGTGCTGAGGAGCTCTTTTAGAGAGGGGGGCGAGGGGGGGGAGAGGAGGGAGAGGGGGGAGGAGGGAGGGAGGAGAGGGGGAGAGGAAGAGAGGAGTGAGAGAGAGGGTGAAATGGGGAGGAGGAGAGAGAGGGGGGGGGGGGAGGAGGAAGAAGTATGAGGAGCGGCGGGGAGAGAATGCGAGGGGGAGAGGAGTAGAGCGGGGGAGAGAGGAGGGAGGGGGAGAGGAGAGAGGAGGAGAGGGCGGAGAGGCGGGCGAAGGAGGGAAAGACAGTAAAGGGAGAGGAGTGGAGAGATGGAGAGGGGTGAGGAGGAGGAGAGAGAGAGGAGAGAGAGGAGAGAGAGGGGGAGAGGAGGGGGAGAGGAGAGAGAGCGGGAGAGGGGAGAGGAGGAGAGGAGAGAGAGAGAGGGTTAAATGGGGAGAGGAGAGAGGAGGAGAGGGGGTGAGGCAGGGAGAGGAAGAGCCGAGGAGTGGAGAGTGGAGAGGAGGAGAGAGAGAGGACTAGGTGAGAGAGGGAAGGAGAGGGGGAGAGAGAGAGAGGGAGAGAGGAGGTTAAAGGGAGAGGGAAGAGACAGGGAGGAGCGGCTATGAGGGGAGAGGAGAATGGGAGGGGAGAGGTAAGAAGGAGGAGGAGAGGAGAGGGTAATGGTAGTAGAGGAGGGGAGGGGAAGACAGCTCCTGGGCGGGGTGGGGCACAACAAAAAAGCTTTGGGGCAACAACACACCCCCCCACACAACCACACAGCTTCCGGGCCTCCACCACACACACACACAGCTCCCTGGGCCTCACCACACACACACAGCTCCCTGGGCCTCACCACACACACACAGCTCCCTGGGCCTCACCACACACACACACAGCTCCCTGGGCCTCACCACAGAGACACACAACTCCCCGGGCCTCACCACGCACACACACAGCTTCGGGCCTCACCACACACACACACACACACACACACAGCTCCCTGGGCCTCACCACACACACACAGCTCCCTGGGCCTCACCACAGA